ATTTGAAAAGATCTTAAGAAAATACATAAAAAAAATGTAAATTGGCAACAAGTTTCACTAAGAAAATATAGAAAAAAAAAATGTTTGGGAGCTAGGAAAGTTTAAAAACGTGGAAAGAAAATGTAGAGAAAACAAATGAAAATATAAACCTAATTGAAGTACCTTCTAAGGCCGGCCTTTTCCTTTATTTATAAGCAAAAGGAAGAGACCCTATGTGCTAATTAGAGCATCATTCTTCCTTCTAGCGCATGCCTGGATCGTTAGCATGTTCACCTTTTTCCTATTGATGCTGTTATTTGTACACGTTTGGGTTCTATGGTGCACCATGTCTGGGTTCTATTCAATGGCTTGGCTTTCCAATAACTTTGTACTTTCATTCATTTACGTGCATTGGCTTCAACCAAGTTAACTCATTAGCCAATCATCTAATCTAAAAATGCCATATTAGTTTTTCAATTTGACACATTCCAACCTTGTTTAAGCAGCTTTGTAGTTGCCTGATCCTTCATACACATCCACGCACGTCTACATTTTTCTCACTTTAAAATTTTTTTTTATAAAAAATTTTCAACACTTAATGAGTATTTCTGTCACAAAATTTACTAAAAAAAAATCTAAGAAAATAAAACTAAAAAATATTCAAGCAAGAAAAGTTAAAAAAAAAAAAACCCTTAAGTACCAATGTGAGCAACTGACACTAATGAAGGTCATTAACACCAAAATCCATCATATTATGTTCTAAATTCTTCATTTTCTTTAATTACACCTACAAATAAGACAATTTTGATTTTATGAGTATTTTTGCTAAGAAATGCTAAATAACAAGCTAAAATATGAGTCAAATTAGACTGAAATTAAGCGCGAAAAAACTAAAATTTAAGTGCAATCAAACACTTAAAATAACAAAAATGTAAAAAATAAAACATAACAAAATTAAGATAATACCCTAAATTGTTAAGAAAAAAAAAGATGATTTACCAATAAAATTTTAAGGTCAAAGTGTAGAGAGAAGATAAAGGAAGAATTTTAGGGTTGAAGGAATCGGAGAACTGATAGTAGGTGGCTTAAAATCGATCAAAAATAAGAAGTTTAGCTTGGTTTAGTTTAGAGGTGCTTTTAGCTTGAAATGAAAGGTTAAGCGTGGATCAGGCATGGTTGACGGTTAGCTTGCTTTCGGCTATTGGCTGACTAGGTGGCAAAAGAGAGGTAGAAGATTTAGACAATGGGTTAAGGTGGTCGCAGAAGGGGGAAGGAGAAGAGAGAAGAAGAAAAAAGAAAAAAAAAGGAAAATGATGAGGGAACCTGAAAGTTTTAAATATTGAGGCTTTAGCGATAGAATTATGTCACTAAAACCTAGTTTTTAGTTTTAGCGAGAAAACATTTTTGTCACTAAAGCCTAAACATTTCAATCGCTAAAGCCTTATAAAAACTAGAGGTGGCAAAGTTGATCCAAGCTCGAAAATTTGCTCGAACTGATTTGTGACTGAACCCAGATCAATCCGAATTTATCAAATAACGTCAAATGATGAAATTTGGAAAATTTGAATCCCAAAAGCTTGAAATCGGTACAATTTGAATCTTTCATAATTTGAATCTACAATGATTTAAACTCGAGATCAATCTTATATAAAAATCATACAAACCAAATTATAAACTAAAAAAGCCAAAACTATAATTATATGATTTTTAATAAATAAAAAATAAATATTTTTCTTAACTAAAAATTTTAAATTTTAAAATTGTTGTTATTGATAATTATTAAATAATTATATCAATAATAATAAAAAAAATTAATATTAAATTTTTAATTTTGGTTATAAAATAAATTCAATTTGAAACACATTAAATATTAATATCTAATGATTTCTAACACTAGCATCTCATTATATTTGCAATAATTATAAATATAAAACAAACAAATAGTATCATTAATTTAAATTTTAATTTAATTATAAAATAATCATTTACAATATCTTATTAATTCATTATACTTATTCCATATAATTAAATTTTAATTTTAATATATTGATGATTCAAAATATAAAAAAATTATGTCATAATTTTAATATTTGATTTAATTTGATATTTTGAAAAACATTAATACCATTATTAACAAAAAGTTAACTTTAAATTATATTTTTAATGTTTCAAACATATTATATTAAAATACTAATTTTACTTGAAAATAAAAAAATTATCTTATAAATTAAAATATATTATTTTAAAATTGAAATATAAAGATTAAATAATTAAATAATTAAATTAAACAATACAATATCCAAACAAATACGATAAAATAAAAGATGTTATTCAATTCCTAAAATCAAATAACCAATGTTTTTAAAATTCTAAAAATAATACATCATCATCAAGATCAAGTCACCTTAATATCCAAAATATGACTTTGCTAATTACAATCAAAGCAACACAATTATTGTTAATAAAAAATTTCAAACTTTTTTTTATCAACAGAAAAATTTATTATAAATTAAAATATCAACATGCATTATAATAAGAAACTCTTAATTCTCTTCCATAAGACAACTAATTCAACATTGCAGTAGTCTTCCTCAATTCTAATATTTCATCATCTTCTTCATCTAATAACATATATAAAAATAACCGTATCTATACATTAGATGAAAGTTATCTCGGGCTTCCTAACTCCTCAATTTACTATCCACCTTAGCAATGTCTTAAAAAAAATTGAAAAAAATTTGAGGGTTATCATAACATATAGATCCAAAAATTTATAGCTAGATTTAACAATTGAATGGAGTCGCCACAAACCTTTTTTAACTAGGTGTGATTGGTCACCTAAGGAATCTATCATTTTAAAGAACTCCTAAGCTTGACCAATGGTCCCTAAAAGAATAAATTTGGGTCTATTAATCAGAATAAGATTCGGGAGTTGGTTACATATGAGGAAGGTTATGACAACCCCACATGCTCATCCGAAGGATGGTACCATATTATTTCGAATTTATCCTAAAGTATTGAGTCTAATGGTTTCAAAATTTAAGTTGAAATATTAGACATAATTTATAAGATTCTTCCATCAATCTGATAGAATTCTTAAAAAATATTTTTTCACCTCAAGAGTATTTAAAGATCCAATTTGATTTCTTGAAGAGGCTCCATCATCGAAAAAAAGTTTAATTATTATTTATTTGGTTGAAAATATATCTAATTATTTGACCATTTGAACCAAATTAAAAATATATTTTTTTTAATTTCTAAACTTTTTACCATTTTGACCTATTTAAAAATTCTTTGAATTTTTCTTTGAATGAATATCTGCTGTCATAAGGAATCTTCTAAAAAGAATCCTTTCACAGTCTGGCAAAGCACCACGGCAGAATTCTTGAATGCGGCCTCACTAACCCACACATAAATTCCCACTACTTTGATTCCACCCACCATCATTCTTGGCACTTGGCGAGCATGTTCAGCTATCCCAATGACTAAAGAAGAGCAAGAATCGGATGTTTGAGATTTGGGTTTCGAACCCTTTTTTTTATTGTCTTTAGCTGGCTCCAAAATCGAACAAGTTGGTTGGCCAGTATCGTTTGAGGAGTGAGTACTAAATCGAACACGAAGCCTCGGTCGAGAATTGAGCTGAGTTTCCCCATCACCAAACCAACCTGGGCGAGAATTAAAGATTGGGTGAGACAATCCTCGGCTAGTTGGAGTTGTGTTTCCTTTCTAACCACAGCTTTCACCATGATTTTGAGTAAACAACAGATCGAACTATTTCGGATTCAAGTGCTTCTTCAGAACGTTCATTTGCCGAAATGTCACCAGCAGAGCCACGGTTATTGATTTGCCTATTTCTAGCAGAAACTGCAGAACTGTAATGCATAGCCTTTGCTGAGGATACGCCAGGCAATGACTGATCCCAGTGAGATCTCTTCTGTTTCTTGCGGGATGCTGAAATAGTTGGACTAGATAAAAGACCATGAATAGGACGAGATGCAGTAAGTCTTGAAGACTGGTTGCCAATACTTGTCTCCCATCGCTTATCCTTCTGATAATATCATCAGCATTAACCTTGGTCAGAAGCTTTCTATGCTCATCGTCTGACACTCTCAGTTCTTTCTTAAGTTCTGTTATCAATCCTTCTTTTTCCCAAGTAATGGCATCAGATTGAGCTTTAAAAGCACGCAAAACAGAACAGTAAGCTTCTTGCTCAAGTAGATGTATTTAGGCCTCCATGTCAGAATGCATCCTAGAATACAAGTCAGAACTTACAATAGATCTTCCATATCCAGCAATATTACACCTTCTGGAAACTTTAGTTGGATGTGATGGAGGTATATCATCGTCAGTACCAAGAAAATAAAAAACAAAGTGGGAAAATATCTTTTCTTCATTGAAGAAAAACACCACCAATGAACCTTAACGGGAAATTGCCCTGAGGAAGAGAAGTCCAAGATTGAAGCTGCTCAGGATGTCCTCCAATGCAACGCAAAGCCAACCTAAAGTAGAGAGATTTAAAGAGAGTAGGAAACCTCTATTTTCCTCTCTAATTCCTAATTCCTTGTGTTCTCAAGCTTAGTTAGGGTTTATATTTATAGGATTAGATCAAAAGAATTTTTGATCAGTTTCGAATCTTCCTTTGATTAGGTTTCACATTATCAATAAAACTTAAGATCTTAGAGAAATTGAAACCAATTGCAATTTTACCAATGTACCATGAGTTTGCAATTTTTTTCCTTTTTTTTTTTTTTTAAAATATTATCTCTTAAAAATAAAATAAATAAATGAAAAATAGAATTCAAAATAATAAATTAATAAAAAATAAAAATAAAGAAACTGGGCCAATCTGACCCCTTTAGGTCAGATCTAAATTAAATTTAATGGATTTAGACACAACCCTTATTGAACTAGGATTAATGGGCCTGGATCCGAACAAATTAAAGTGTCTACAAGAGTTAAATTCGAGAAAAAATTAGTTTACAGCCTTTTCGTTCCCTCCTTCTCTCCTTAGACTCTTTTCCTCCACTCAAACTCTTTCATCCTTTTTGTTCCTCTGTTAGTGGTGTTGCCACTCTCTCTTCCCCTGTCATGGCTGCTGTTTCTGTTGAAAGCTTTAAATATGCCAAAAGGGAAGGGAGATTGAGAGAAGAAGCCGACGAATCCGAAGTAAGATCCAAACACTCGACAAACACGGTACCGAAGATTTCATCAGAGTTGAAACCAAGTGAAGAGATTGTGGTTTGAAAATGATGATCTTGATGATCAAGGGGCCGTGTTCATGGAAGCCATAAAAACTGAAAAGGTAAGTGTGAAAAATCTGTGTTTTTATGGAGACGTGGGATTAGTTCATGCATGAATCTGACCCACCATCCAGTCCCTCTGAACCAGGTATATTCCAAATTTTGTGAAACATCCAGTCAAAATTATAATCAATTCCTAATAGAACTGAAACTGTCTTTCGCAGAAAATGCAATACAACGGGATTATTAACTAGTTGTTTGCTGACATCGTTCTTGGGAGCTTTGAAACCCTTTTTGAGTTCTGAGTAACCGTTGAGTTTAAAGGGAAACGGAAAAGCTAAATTCTACCTCCAGTTCTGGTGGTTCCAATGTCTACAATACTGTTTTCATTGATACCAGCCTCGACACCCACCTCGCCATGATCGTCTTTGATTCAAACACTGTTTCTGATCTTAAATGTAGGCTGCTTTTCTACTCTTTCTCTCTCAAATTTGCTTTATGGGTACTTTTTTTGGTTACCATTGTCTAGGAAAATTTTTATTGTTTTGGCTTTTGAAGGTGAAAATGTTTTTTCTTTAAATTTCTAAAATATTAGCTTTTGTTCTATTATAAATTATGGGAAGGCACTGCTTAAAAAGAGAGCAGAAAACTTTTTCAAAATGATGAACTGATATGAAATACACACCATGTTTCATCACCTATGAGAGTCTTATAATGACGTATGGTTTTTGTGACTGTGTTTCTAGGGCTTGGGATATATTTGATGGGATTGTTGACTCTGGGAAGCAGATGAAAGTGTCAACCCTAAATGTCATGCTTTAAGTTTACTGCATAAATGGTCTACGTATGAAGGCAAATAGGCTTTTTGATAATGTACATGACATGGGGGTGATTCCTGACTCATCAACATATAAACTTCTCCCTTTGTTGACGATGCATCAGTGGTAAGTAAGTAGTTTGCGTCATTGCAATTTCATAATATAAAAGCTTCTTTTTTTATGGTATTTCACGAAATATTTTGTAACTGCGGGCTACCTGATGAATAGGCGGGTGAAATCCCCGCTGCATGTGTTGTCATGAACCCAAATGCCAAAGAAAGCGAAACAGACATCATGGACTTTGTAGCCTTCAATGTTGCACACTACAAGAAAGTAAGGTTTTTGCAATTTACGGACACAATTCCAAAATCCCAATCAAGGAAGATCATGAGAAGGCTTTTGAAAGATAAGATGATAGAAAATATGGGAAAAAACAATTCCACAGCTAATCCAAGTTCTGCTTGTGCCACAAAGGGTGGCAGGCCAGAGAATAGTGCAAAAACTAAAAGGGAAGTAATCAATTGATTGGTTTATATATTCTTTTAATCTCTTTCCAACTAAGCGTGATTCAAAGCAAGGTCTGTATTGCATAGGGATGGTTATCAAGTTTGGGTATATTGCAGCACTAATTGAATGTGATATTTGTCTCCTATTTTCTATTATTTTCTATTCGCGTTTCTAGACCTATGCCTTTTTCACGAGAATCAATTTCTGTACTTGTTTTTTTATTTCAAAATATAACATTATTTGTTAAATTCTCTTCAAAATTCACACCTTTAATCATATTGTCATGAATTCAATCTGCATTTCCTTGAAGCAGTAGTCCACAAGATGTTAAGCATGATTTTTTTCAAGCATCTATATGCCACAAACCACCTTTCAGAGGCAAAAGCTTTTCTGAAGAGTTTTAATATAATATAGGATCTAGTGAGAGCCATCTGTGCTTGAATATTGTGCTTTTTGATGCTTTCATTTGCTTCAAGTAAACGACGCTTTCCCTAGAGCTTTCTCAGATTAAATAAACCAAAACAATAGATTCAAAGTAAATAAAAAACGCTGCTCCTCAGCTCTCTTACAATTAAACAGACAGATCATAAATTTTTGGGTCTCAATCTTTAGAGCATGTAAACTTCCCTTTTCATTATTTTTAGTTCTCGCTTTTCCTTCCAGAAACTTAAAGTTTCTGATCTATTTATGGTTTTTTTTTTTTTTCCATTTCTTTGTCCTTTGGTTTTGATTTTTGAGAAATGGTAGTGCGAGTGGCTTAGAAGTGTTCTTAGGTGGTATTTTCCCATCGAGAGCAATGTCAACGAATGGATCTGAGTGCCAATGAGCATCTGATCGCTGGTGACGGGATGTTGGCAGGCGGTGTGGAGAACCAGTAGAAAGGGCAATAGGTTTCCCATATTTGCAAATCAATTCACGGTTAGGCTCTCTTCCATTTGTTGCAATTTTTTTTTTTTTTTGCCCCGATGGGAGCGATGCAAGATGGGAACGAGAATGGGAAAGAGGGGAAGCGATGCAAAAGGGACAGAATCATCAACCAACCAACGTTGACGGAAGCTGCAATCGGTGATGAAGGACTAAATTGTTTGTGTATAGTCTTGCTCTCACCCCATAATTCGCACAAATGTTTTCCCTGAGCTTCTTTTGATCATGACCGTTAATCAATTTTGAATTTTTTGATTCGATGATGTTGGGATTTTCATTGATTTAGAACTTGAATTTAAAAAGGTGAATTTATTAAGTTGGAAATGCATTACCTTTATTTTTGTTGCGTTTAATTCTTTTAATCTGTTTTATTTAGTTTCTGCTTCCATCATCAAATTAGCTTATTTCCAAAGCTGCTTTAAAACCATTCCTAGCATTATTAGGCTGGATAGCTTGCAGGTAACTGGCGATGTTTGGTTTGGAGTTGATATAACTCTCAAGGTATTTAGATTATTGCTTCTGCATCAGTATCTTAGTTCTCCGTTGAAATATTTGTTCCTTCTTCTTGTATTAGGTTAAACTTCATACTATCATCTTTTCAATATTGAAAGTTGTGCATCAGTGCTTGTCTGAGTATTTTCAAATTGCTTTATAATTTGATAATGTGTTAATTATTGATGGCTAAAACAAGCAAGAGGGTCTGTCTTGATTTTGGCTTTTTTTTTTTTTATTATTATTATTAATCATCTGTTTTCTATTACTCAAACATAGATGGACGGGAAGGTATGAAGGCCCATCTGTGGGACAATGGTTGCAAGAAAGGAAGGCAGAGCAGGAAAGGAAGACAAGGTTAGTGTTGAAAAGAGAACCTCTTACAAAAATATACCTTTTATTTTTGTTACTTTTTTGTTCTTGACCTGACTTATTTTTTGTATCCTACTATTTTTTTTTCTTATCATGATTGGAGATGATTCTAATAAAATGATGATTCTCGGTTTATTTAGGTAAGCACTTCTGCCATTATTAACAAATCACTACATCTATATTCTAAGATGCTTGCAGTCTAACATTTGAGAAGTCTGTTTTTCGCCACACTATCCTTCGTCTAGCACTTAAATATGGTTGTTGTCTGCTTAGTTGAGGACTACAGCCACTGTCCCATTGTTTACTAGATTTTGGAATTTTTTGCCCAGGTAAAAAATCATTAAAAACTTCTATCATTGCTTGTCTTTTTCATATGAAGTAATTTCATTATGAAAAAATAAAATTATTTCATATCATTTTAATTGTTCACTACTTAATTTTATTTCATTATCATTTTAAATATTTTATATTTTTACAAATTAATTTAATTAAATATTAATAATAGATCTAGAGTGAAGTTCGAGTATTCTTTTAATAATCATTAAAAAAAACTTAATAAAAATATAGTCAATGACAATAAGATCTTATCATCTTTATTTTTTGTCGCATCATATTCGTACAATTAATTACAAGTGATAATCAATATTTTTGCATTATAGGGTCTAAAGCAATTTCTCCATTTATTAATAACTTTACAACCCGTATTAAATACTGATTTAGAAGAAATTGTGATAATTAGAATATTTAGCATATCCTTGGCCATGAGGGAAAGAATAAGATACTGAAATTTATATTTCTTCCAAAAATCAAGAACATCAAATTGCTTCTCACAATCTTCTCTTGTTTTATCCAAATTAACATCCAGCTTTGATCTATGTGAAATAAACCTAAAGTTGTAACTTTTAAATCCCTATAATAATAAAGTAAGTCCATATATCAAACCATAATAAGAAAATGTACAATTAAACTAAAAGTTAAAAAAGAAAAAGAAAAACTAAATTACTTATTATCTAAGAAATAAGTAATAACTTTATAACTAAAGCAAAATTTATATTAAACTAATTTAATTTAATTGATTTATTAGTAACTATTAAAATTAAAATTAAAGTGAGAATAGAATTAATTATTACTGATAGTAAATTAAAGTATAACTTAAAAGTATACTATACTAGTAATAACTTTAATACAATTAATTTTTATATTTTATTGATATTAAGGTTAATTACATTTAAGTAATTACATTGTTTACTTTAGGTTATTAGCATTATATTAATTAATTTAATAATATATATTATTCAATATTCTAATTAAACATTTGATCAATTGGTATATATCCAATATTATTATATTTATGTAAATGTTAGTCAAAATAATATTCTTTTTAATAATATCTATTATTTAATTATGTGAAATTTGAATATTTTAGTTTTTATTTGAATTTGTACTATGGACTAAAAAGTAATGGATAATATTTAAAGACAAAATTAATATACAATATATATTTATGTAAAAATATTATTTTAAAATTTTAACATTAACATTTTTGTAATATTTTTATTTAATTATATAACAAATGAAATTAATCCTTAATTCGAAATTACAAAAATGTGTTTATTACTTAATAAACTTTAGAAAAAATTTCAAATTTGTCTAAATAGTAAGCTCGTCCAACTCAAATCGAACCAAATCTAAAATAACTCATATCTGAAATTGTTTGAATTCAAAATTATTTAAATTTCAAATTATTCAAATCTGAAAAACCTGAATTTGGAAGTATTTGAATTCGAAAAAATTTAAATTCAAGAGGACCTGAACCCAAAATTAATCTTAGTCCCGAAAGATCCAAATATGAAAACAATTTAATCCAAAACTGTCTGAACCAATTCATTTGTCACCTTTAAAAACCGTTATTTTTTTTAAATTTAAAATTTTTTTTTCTTAATTTATGAAAAAAAAACTTTAAAATTTATTTTTTAATTTATCTTATTTAATGGTAATGAAAATTTTTTGTCAAAATTGATGGAATTTTTTTGCTAAAACCATCGATAATTTTGATACGACATCTATTTCTTTGGAGCGTAAATTTATTGACGGATTTAATGACAGAATATGGTTTCATCACTAATATTACCATATTAGCAGTGGAATCCCGTTGCTATGTCCTCTAACATCTGTCTCTAAAACTTTAAAATTCTAATGAATCTACAACTAAATCCATCGATTTGCCATAGGAATTTCGTCACTAACAGGAGTTATTAGTGACAAAAAATTTTCATCGCTAAAAGAATATTTTCTTGTAATGAAAGTTGATAAAAAATAAAGTTTTTTTTTACTAAAATTTTATTTTTGTTTGATTTATTTTGAAAATAAAATCTTAGATTTATGTCAAAAAGGACATTCTTAAGATTACTCAAAACTTGAAGATACTCATGATTATATTATAAAAATTGTAATAAATATTATAAAATTATTATTTATTAGAATTGTATCATTTATGAATATCCCATTCGAACAAAATATTATATTGTAAAAGAATGAGCTTGTTATAGGTGTAAGTGTCACGGGTCGAAACTTAAGCTTCGAACTCGCGCGGCTTTGGGATCCGAGCATTCACCCTTTCGGTGTTTCGAATCAACCTGATCGTCACGGTTCACACCCAGGTATTGTCTGCTCTGGTCCCTTTGGTCTCACTGTTTTATCCTACAAAAGGTGCCTCACAAGGCGGAGATGGTATTAACCCTTTTATACCCTAGTGACCTTCTTATTATGTTCGATATGGGATTCAGGACTCCCCCTTAGGTCCGTGACATTCTCCCGCACCCAACCTTGTGACGCTCTCGTCACGGAGGCTGGCCACCCTACTTACCTCCCTCGAGGTGCTTAGCGTGGATCGAACGGTTTAAGGCTGGCTCTGATACCACTTGTCACGGGTCGAAACTTAAGCTCTGAACTCACGCGACTCCGGGACCTGGGCATTCACCCTTTCGGTGTCCCAAATCAGCCTGATCGTCACGGTTCACACTCTTGTGAGGTATTGTCCCCTCTGACCCCCTTGGTCTCACGGTTTTATCTTACAAAAAGTATCTGACAAGGCGGAGATGGTATGAATCATTTTATACCTCAGTGACCTTTCTATTATGTTCGATGTGGGATTCAGGACTCCCCCTTAGATCCATAATACAAACACACCCATGACTGAAACATAATGGAAGGCGACACCCTCAAGGCATGCTTGCTAGATCCACATGTTTCATTAATAATTTTTTACTCTTGTAATTGAAGAATTTCTTAAATTTTTTTTTTTATTTTGAATTGTAAATGCTAAAAGTTCTGCCCTTGTAAGGCATTTAACAA